GAGCTGTTTTTGAACCTTCGCTTCGAGCTCCTTATAAGTGCGCTCAGCGTTTGCGAGATACTCCTCCCACTGCTCGTTGACCGTCAAGAAGCTGGAGCCCATAGTCAACACGCCCGCAAAGGAGACGGGGCTCGGGCACGCGGTCAGAAAAGCCGGCAGGGTTTTGCAGAAGACCGCGTGCGTGACGGCAACATCGCCCGCACAGTAGTTCAGGTACTCCTGAATGCCCTGCAGAATGTCCTCCCTCGTGCTCGTCATGAAGTCGTTGCGGATCTCCTTGTCCATCTCGATGCTGCAATGCAGTTTGGCGACATCCGCAAGTGAGTTCGCGGATGTTAGGTCCTCCCATCGCTTGGAGGAGAGCTCCTCTTCATCTGCCTCGTCTAGCATCTCAGATTGGAGGGAAGGAAGCCCCTCCTCCAAGTCTCGGAGCAATCGACTGAGCTCCTCGGCTTTCGCGGGATCCGTCTCCGAGAGGCGGCGCTCCTCGCCCTGGCGAATGAGCTCCATGACAGCCTCGACGGCCTCCTCCTTCTGCTGACGCGCCTTCTCCTTTGCTTTGCGGTGCTTCGTCCACGCAGGCCGCTGGTTAGACGAAATGCCCTTCACGGCGATGTGCAGCGCCATGGTGTCGAGGAAACGCGTGCGGGTGCCCTCGACACTGTACTCTTCGAGGATGCGACCGCGGTCGTACGACACATTGTGCCCGACTACAGCGCGGGGTACCGTACTGTCGCCAAGAGGGATCAACTGCTGCATATCGTCCGTCTCCCCCAGTAGCCACGGCGAGACCCAAGAATACCACGCGCTCTTCGAGGCCGCACACGCCATGACGGCGTACGGGCTGTAGTTGGGCAAGGTCTCCACGTCGAATACGAGTATATCTTCAGCTTGACCGTTGAACTCGGGGTAGTCGACATGCTCGTAGTAGCTGGAGCCGTCTGGGTGGTAGAGATAACGCGTCCATCCCGCTTGGACGTTCCAATGGTCCGGTCTCGGTGGGAGCTCTGAGCTCGCGAAGTCTTTCGCGAGGGAAAGCCAGGGTTGTGCCGCGCTTGCACCGATTGCATGAAAGTGTTCGTCGACATTGCGTCCCTGCAGCGGCGGAAGTGTGAACGCGGTGTTGGGGAGCACAGACCCTTGTACAGGATCGAGACCGTGCGTTTTGAGGTGGTCCTGAGCGATACGGACGTAGGAGTGTTCTGGGGAGGGAAAGAACGCATTGCCGAAGACTTGTCGGTGCAGCTGGCGGGAGAGGAGCTGCACACCAACTTCGTTGCGCTTGATCTCTGCAGACGTATAAGGAACAGCTGTCAGGAAAATATGCCTGACGCACCATCTTGCGCCGCAGCCTCCTCCTTAGCTTGAGCAACGGTGTCGCTTCGATCCCACTCCTGCCGCAGTCTGGTGGTTTTGGGGTGTTTATTCGCGGAACCAGGCAAGGGTTTCTGCTGTAAAACAGAGGTGGGCAGAGAAGTATGAAATAGTCGGGAACGTCCTGCAACGGGGAACGACTTGGCGAGCATCCAGACCAGCCTTGCATGCGGCTTCTGCCCTACCGCGAGAGATGGCAAGGAAGAGGATAAGAGGGAGCGTAACCGAGGGGACGATGACGAGGAGAACTGAAGTGAGGGTCGACTTTGGGATTAGGTAATGATGACCATATGTGGCATCTCCCTTCAGGTTGCTCATAGTCGAGCGCGAGACGCTGCCAAATCCTGCCAAACTATAGTGTTCGTTGTTCGCTGATAGTCTATTATACGCACAAAGATTGAAGCACTAGCTCAACTGATCGACTCAGCGAGGACCCTTGCATTAATACTAGGTCGCACCTGGTCGTAACGTGCCGACTGCATGGGCGCTTGTGCGATGTTTATCAGCGCCTAATAACCGCAACTCACTCGGTTTCAAGGTCTCAATCAAGCTCTCGACTTTCGTCCAGAGGAGAATTCGTACTTCGGACACATCATACTGCTGCTGGCATCGTTATCGCAATTCAAGCTCTCTAACGGCACCGTGTAGCACCGTGTGCAGACGTCACTGGTACTACGAGGATGGTCTCCAGCTCCTTGGATTATGGACTACGTGTCAAACGCGTTGCGATCTCACCTGCAATCCGAAGCCGAGACTACAACATTGCCAACACCCGTACCCTATGCGCCGCAGTGCCCATGAATTGCTCGTGTGCGCAGCTTCCCGTGTCTCAGCTGCGCGCAGGTGGACAGATGGTTGCGCGCGGAGGCCCGACGTCCACACCTGATAGCGCAATCATTCGATGACGGGGGGCATGTCTTGCTGTGTCTGGCAGACACGGAGGAAGCGGGGGGTTGATACGAGAAGTTCTGGTGCGTCTCCCCGGGCTCGTGTATGTCTCCCCATCTACGCCTGAGGGCCCATGCTCGATCGCTTGTGTTACTGGCGGTGCCCCATTACCCAGTCCGAACCCATTCGTAGGGATCTTATCCAGTGTCGTGCAGAGTGCTCCATGGGCATATGGTACTTCTGGACAAAGCATTGTATCATGTCTTGTTTCCGTTGGGTAACACCGTATCCGCATCCATCTTCTAAGCTGGGCTCCGTAGACTTGTGCCCGTACACCGGAGCGCGGTCCACCGCGACGCCGACGGTATGCACTATCCGCTTCGCTGCGAGGCCCATGTGTGGACCGAGTGTCACGCATGTCGTCTACACATTCTGTGGGTAGTATGTGGTCGTGACACTCCCGCGCGAAGGCCCACTGCCGGTGCTGCGACGGCGCAGGCCGTTATTCAAACGGCGCACCATTGTCCTTCGGACGGGGCTAGCTGCCATATGGTGCTGGCCCGTCCGAAGTATGTGCGCCTTCGGCGGCGATGGACAACAACGATGATGCATTGTTCTGCGGCGTACGCGGGCGGCGGCGCGGCCTGGGCGAACGATATCCATCGATTGTCACACCGCTTCCGCCTTATGCGCACAAAGCAGTACCTTGATATGGAAGTTGCGCCGTCACACGATGTCCTCGAGGGCGTACCACGAGGTGCGCGTGGAAGGCGGAGGGCGCGAGATTGCCCCATATGGTAATGGGCGCGCGGCTTGATATGGCAAGTCGCGTTCTGCCGACGCTTCAAGCGCCCGGCATGGCGGATGGCGCGCGATAAGGCGGGTTCGCCATCACCGCCGCGCACGTCGGGGCTGCGACGACCGCATGACTCGACCGCGCCCCCGCCCGCGGGCACCTTTGTTTGGCACCCCCGTACCGCGGTCCCATACAAACACGACATGACTCGTATAAATCCTCGCGCCCGCCGGTCGAGTTCCGTATCAGCCTCCCCGCCCCGCCTCCCGCCCCGCCCGCCGCCGCATATCTGCCCGCCGGTCCAAGTTCAAACCGCCTCGCCAGTCCTCAGTGTCACACTCTATCAACTACACCTGTCACTATGCAGTACCCCTCCACCCCATCGTCGAGTTCTACTCGTGTGCCTACTACTCCCGTGCCGAATGCACCGTACATGAGCCCGAAAGACCTGCCTCCGTCACCCGTCACGCCGACACACGCACTCCCCGGGTACGGCGCCCCGATCGGTGCACTTCAGATGTACCCGATGGGCTACGGCGCCGCTCCGGCCCCTCAAGCTAGTTGTACGGCAATTTCCCATTTGCGTCCCACTCCGACTGGTTGCTGATCTTGGTCGGCGCGTTACCGTAGATGGCCTCATGACTCCGCCGACGACCCCGGAAAGGGCACGCGGCCAACGTGGTTTCGCTGGCTACGCTATCCGCCCAGTGTTGAGCCCACAAGCACTCCGATTCAATATTGCCCAGCCGCTGACGGCCATCCGGTACGCGGCGCCGTACTCGGAGCGCGACACCTACGAGACCTTCACGACGCCCCCTACGAGCGTGGTCTACATCAGCGTCATCGGCGTGTTCCGTTTCGAGGTGCACGCCCGGCAGCGGAGCGGCGTCACCGTGAGGGACGTCCTCGAGGGCGTCCTGTCCGCCATGGCCCACACGGCCACGGAACATGAGGCCAGGTGCTTTACGCAAGAGGTCCAGCAGAGCGTTGTCATGTCACGCACGCCTCGCCGATACAAGTACCTTGGCCCCAGGGTCGTTTTCAGCGGCATTGAAGTCACGCATGCATCCGCCGGTGCCGTCTACTGCGACCTCCACCTCGCCACCCAATGAATATGTCTCGTCCTGTCCGCGAAGCGCTCTTCCCGAAAAACCGAAACCTCCCTGTCGCTCGACTCTTGCACAAATCCCCCCCAATATCTCCCACTTGTCGCCGGCCTGTCTCTCCCCTTGCTCTGTGGGTTTCTGGACTCGTTCTGCCGAACGCGCTGGACGCTCGTGTGCTGTTTATCTTCTGTATCAACTCGGACAATGCCTCTATGATTTATGGTCAATGTACAACCCCCCTCATGTAGCGATCTCTCACGCTCGGACGTTCCTCGCTGTATACTACCAGCCGCTACTCATGCCAATGGCCTGTACAGTACGCCGCCGACACTAGTATAGACACTGCGATCGCAAACTATGTAAATGCAGCAATCACATTCTTTGCGCCCCCTCTCACTTCTTAGGACTGAAACCCTATGTCAATGAGATGATCCCCGTGGAGTTTGACCTTCGAAGATTCGAATATCGATACTGCTGTTACAGGATTTGTGCCTCAAGACCCTTAATGCTGTGTGGTGAGATTCGTTGCGTGCCTCATTCAGTCTCCTAGTGGTCACGGTGGTGCTCCCCTCCGATTTCCGTATGTCCACTTGGTGACCCGGATTGATTTATCTCAGGTGAATCTATTATATACTAGCCAGCCGAATCTGTAAATCTCATTTAGGCTACTATGCAGCAAAATCTGTCAGCTCCGCAATCTCCAAAGCAGTAGCCGACAGCCTGAGCCTGAGTAGAAGATGTGAAGTTACCGCAGCCTGAGACTCTGAGATGGTCACGGTTGCAACGAGGTTGATACCGTTTCATTACGTGTATATTATAATCTTTTTGATCAGCAAGCCTTCTTAGCTCAGTGGTAGAGCGCATCACTAGTATCAGAAAAAGGCTTCATGCGGAGAATATTATGATGAGGCCACCTGTTCGAGTCAGGTAGGAGGCATTTTTGCCACTGCTGAAGGACTGCCTCCTACTAGTCAGTAAGCCACTGCCGCTGCCTCCCTCGTGCCCAAGAGCAATTAATGTTCCCCGGGGTATAAAAAGTGGCGCTACGCGCCGAGGAAGCCATACAACTGTGCGACAAGCCACTACCGCTTCGCTGACCTCAACGCGCCTCTCGCATTTAATCCTTTTCGTTTTCCCCTTCTTGTCTCTTACATCCATTTCTTGCGTTCTTGACAATACTCAGCCGTTTCTGCTGAAATTCTGGCCTTCTACCACCAGAAGCGACGTCTCCTCGAGCGGCAAGCCGTCAAAGAGCAAGGGTCGAAAGACATCTGGCTCAAATCGCGGAACTTGGCCACCGATGTCCACTGCGGACAAAGCTGGAGGCACTAAACGTACGAGGCCTTCCGCACCATGATAGGGTGCCTTGGGGGCCGACAAGTATGTGCCATTCAAACCCGGCGTCACGATACGACGGGTTGCATGAAACAGGGCACACTTGGTACATACATCCACGGACGCACCTCGTAACGTCTACTCTTTCCTCGTCGTACGTCCCATCGCGGTGGTGGAAAAAGCCCTCATGTCTTCGGCCCCGTATTCCTCAATTGATTTAGGTGCGAGGTGGTATATGAGTGCCCATAGCCGAGGACTGAATGACTGACGCATGGTATCAATGAGCTCACTCCACTTCGTACCCCACCCTTCAGGGACATGCCACCCTCACTGTCAGCACCGTCAGCATCCGAGTCACTGCGGCGAAGCGAGCCGGATCTCAACGTCAGGTGTCCCGCTGGCGGTCTAGTTCTACACGGCGGCCTACTGCGGCTGATCCTACTTGACGGTTCTGGGGTTCGTCACCATACGTACTATGGGGAGAAGCACTTGAAGGTGGAACAGCGATCAAGGATCGGGTGGTGTACTGGTGGTCCATTGCGTCTCACCTTCCTGTATTCGCCGTGTGAATACGAGGGGAAGTGTGGACACTGGTACGTCTTCAAGCGCAAGACGGGCGGCAGACGGCGGGCCCATTCAGCAAAGTCCGGTCACAGGACGAGCTTGTTTGTAGCCTACGCACGACACCTGCTCCCTTTAGTGGCTTGGTGCTCGATGCATCGCCGCACGCACTGCGAGGTCGCATGTGCATCGTGGACAGTGCGTTCCTGGCATTCCGATGTTCTGCGGGCTACTTGTATCTAAGCGAATGGTGCCTAGCTTTAGAAGCATCAGAGGGGGGACGTGTTCCTTGTACACTAAAGGAGTGCATAGTATGCATAGGCATATGATGATGCATTCATAGAGTGGAGGATGCGACTATGCGCAGGGAGCGGTACAAAAATATGGACACAAGAAGTACAAGTGCGCGATGGATGTAGAGTACAAACGTCCTAAATGCGAATGCGAATCATCGTTCATGCGTGAGTGGTTGGTTATAGTACAAATGGGTCATAATCATAAGCGTAAGTCGTGAGCGCCAGTGCGGCGTGCGTGAGTCGTCATATATCACCAGAAGCTGGACGGGACCGATGTAGAGAGAGCGACGATCGAAAGCGAAAGCGAGACCAGAGAGCAGAGCAGACGACGGGCGAATACGCAAGTACCTGCAAATGTTTTGCGCCGATCGCGGACCAGCGAAGAGACCAATAGATCACCAGAAACCCAAGGAGATGCAATGAGGAAGAGTGAGGCGAGCCGCGCATCGAGAGGCGCCTCACGGCTTCTCGAAGATAAGCTTGCCAGTGCCGCCGCCGCCACCGCTCTTGTCGACTTCGACGCCGACGAGCCGTGTCTTCTCACCGAGCCAGTCGACGCGACGCACGCCGGCCTCCCAGCCACCGCCCATGCGCGTACAACGACGCTCATACGCCTTAGCGACCTTGTGCTGCGCGCGGCTTCCGTTCCCAAGCGCTGCCCACTCCTCTGGTGTCACGGGCGTCATGAGCGTGGTATGCACAGCATAAAGCACGTCGAGGTTCGTGATGGTACCCGTCTTCGGTGGACCCACGGTGAATCGAGGACCGGGCGAAGCTGTCGCCGAGGGAGCAGATACGATGACGGGCCATGGGAACTTCGACGAACGGAGGACGAGACGGGCGCCCGAAGGCATGGGCGGCTCCGTGGCGGGTTGGGCAAGGGTATGCGAAGGAATGGCAGAGTGGGTTGCACGATCGAGGACTGTCCGTGCGGAAGGAGTGAAGGTTACGTCGTACGTGAGCGGCGCGTGGTGAAGACGCGTGTACGCGAGCAGCGGGTGCATATGCAGCATAGGCGTTCGAGGCCGCGAGTAGGAGCTGGAGTGCGACTGTGTTGACGACGGCCCCCCACGACCCGAGCCGTCTAGATAAGGTTCTGAATCAGTGACAGTTCATCATGCAGGAAGACGGACACGTACAAGAAGAGGCAGTGCCAACAGATTGCCAGCTCTGGTTCTGCCTCAAGGGAGGCCGGATTTCGCCGGAAGAGTGGCCAGCGTAATGGTGACCAGCGTCCGAGCCGGAGGACCGTGGCACCCCCATGCCGAAGAGCGAGGTACTTGAGTTCGACCGCGAGTGAGGTGGAGTGCTGTGCCCGCCCGAGGAGGCATACGAAGAATAGTGGACTGCTAGCGCCAGGGTGAGTAATAGCCTCGTCAAACAAGGGAATCACGACTCACCAGGTTCACGCGTCTTGTAACTTGCTCGCCGCAAGCTGTTCGCGCGGGGTTCCGCGTAAGGTGAAGCAGCACTGCGCTTGGCATATCCGTGCATTGTCCGTGTGTCAGTGCCGGTGGCGTAGCGAAGTGGCGAAGGATTCGTGGCGCGCGATGCAGAGAAGCTATAGCTGCGCTGGACGTCCGCATTGGCACTCGACGCAGAAGCTGGTGCATAGATAGGGGCTGGTCCCGAAGAGCGAGAGCGGGGCTTGGATGAGCTGGAGGTGGTGCTCGAGCCACCGAACCAGTTGCGGAAGTAAGAAGACATGATCGTCATTGGTACAAGTGCGAATGCGAGTCGGGTTGCGGTCGGCGTGGAAGACAATACCTCAAGGTGGTGAAGGTCAAGCTATAAGACAAGTGACGAGTAGTGGCGGTCTTGCTGGGGAGTAAAGTGACAACTCTACCTCGCAACGGCTGCTGGGGGAACGGAGCACTGAGACCTGAGACGGGCTCCTTATAACTTGACGTGGCGCCGATGGCGGGAAGAAAGAATGCACCTCGTTTTGGGCAGGTACGGTTACGTGACTTGTTGTACCGAGTTCTGGACACCGCCTGCCGCGGTGGGTAGCGTGGAAAGACCCCAGAATAATGAAAGGACGTGCGGGGAGGCCTGGATCGCGCCCTCCGATTCTAGGCAGCATGTGCATAGCCGCTGCCCTTCGAACGCACTTCGCCGTAAACTCCGTGATACGAGGGTATGACAATCACCCTTAGCGACGCGGCGCACGGACCAATGAGGGGGCGACAGCGCGGGCTTTGTGGCCCTTTCCAGCGGAAATGTCGGAATTCGATGTACAAAATCAGTAATTATTCTGATTGGCGGCGTGGCAAGGTCCTCCACTGGGCGTTATGCCGCCAACACTGATCTCAGAACCTGGAGAAGCCGCGTGGAGGAGGCGTGTCCTTCTGTTCTAGGGGGCGCGGCAAGCGCTTTGTACTGTTTGGGATCCTTACCGACGCGGGGGATGCACGCTGGATGCAGCAGACGACCAGTCCAGGTTTCGAAGGGCGCCATGACGCTTCCTGCAGACGTCGTCTTGTCATCCTGACGTCTTCGTCGCTGGAGATAAGCAGAACGCCCCAAGGCAGTCCCGCAGGCTTCAGATACGCACTAGGGGCTGCGGAGGCTTGGACGAAGGGCATCGGACACAGCGTCGGCAGAACCCAGGGGAAGGACGCCGGGAGGCACAGTCAGAGCAGTTGATACGGTTTCGCCGGATGTTGGACCGGTTCTGGTCAAAGTAGCGCACGAATATGACATGCCTCGCGGGCTTCTCCGGCCTTGAATGAACCACGGGTCCAGGCTATTGGAGATCAGCACCCTAGAACCCCGCCCCATCACACATGAGATGCAGATTCCGAGATCTCGTTGGTCGTTGTGGGACCCGTCAACAGCACCTTCTGCCACAGGTCCCGGCGGCTCAATGTCCGTACCCCATATTGCGGAGCTGACGCAGCTATCCCAATGCGTTAGTCCCTACGTACCTCGAGTGCCCGCGTAAGCAACGCAGCTACGAGCAGATTGGGAGACTTTGTCAGCACCATGGGGACAGCATCTCCATAGCGCCGATGGTGACGATGATGGTCGTCGCCACCCTTTACTGCGAACTATCATTCAGCCTGTAGTTTCAAACTGTCCAGTGGATATCTGAAGGAGGAAATGACGCTGCGAACAGGACGCATGCATGCCGATCCTCGAGTCGAACCGTGACGCAAGGGGAAGTACTGAGCACAAAACCGGCAGTAGATGCATGCGCAGCACAAAGGCCAGAACGTCCGAAACACGACGCGAGGATTACACCAGCCAGGGTTACCCGAATGCCTTGGTGAGCTGGCGTTGTAAAAGGCGAAGAAAGTGCCGCCTCACCGCATGTGTCTCGACCGAGCAGCACAATGAATCGCTCCACCTCCCGTCGTGGGGCCCTCTTGCGCGGGACACACTTAGTGTAACATGCCGCCGGAATTGCCGGTGAGCAAGACCGACGTTCTGCAGTGAGTCGCGGACCGAGGGACAGAGTAGCACCACTGTCCCTGCACCTAGACGGATGCTGATTGATGTCAGTCATGAGTGCAATAGTGCAGTTGCCAGAGACAATGGAGCATGCGCCGAAGCTGGTGGATTCTGTGTAAACACGTTGCAGATTGCAAGGAGGCCCTCCTGAGAAAACAGGATGTTCGATGTCGGCTATCGGGGCCCCGCGACCAGGGATCCAACGGCCCCGAAAGCTGGCTGAACGGTCAAAACGAAGAGCCAGAAGTTATTCAAGACACATCACATCGAAACACGCGGCCGAGATAACTCC